GAAAAAGAAAAGCAAACCGGACGGTGTATGATGCGCCTCGATGTGCACTCACCGTTTTTAGCTCCTTCTCCGCCTCCAACCGCCGTCGCCGACACCGGTGGAGGAAAAATGGTACCGGTCGTGTTCATGGCTCTACTCCTCCCTTGCGTCGGCGTTTGCTTACTCTTCCTCATCTATTTATTACTCTTGTGGTGCTCCACACGTCGTCGAATGGAGCGTCTCCGATCTGCCGAACAGGTTAAGTCGGTCAAAGGTAAAGGTCTCTCTAAGTCCGAGCTAGAGAAACTCCCTAAACTCACCGGAGAAGAACTTGCCGTGGTTGGGAGGACGACGGAGTGTCCAGTCTGCCTTGAAGAAATCGAAAGTGGTCAACCGGCTCGTTTGGTTCCCGGTTGCAACCACGGGTTTCACCAGCTGTGTGCTGACACGTGGCTTTCCGACCACACGGTTTGTCCGGTTTGCCGTACCGAACTTGCTCCGAAGCTTCCTCCTCAGTGTAGTGAAGATCATAGTCCATGTTGAAAAACAAAGAATCTCGAACAAATATTCTTCCTTCTTTATTCCTTGTCTTGGTTTCCTTTTCTTGATAATTGTTTTTTAATCTTTTTCCATTTTATGTAAAGGTTATAGAGAGAAGAATCCAGGTACCAGTTGTTTTTCTGGGTTGTACATTAGATTAATTTTAGAGTAAATTACAAAATTTTCAGTTTTGTCATTATTAGTTAATACGTTTTTTTTTCTTATATCTTACGATAATTAAATATCGTCGTTACTGACCAACTTTATTTTTTCTTCACTTGAAAACAATGCATATAACTAAACTTCTTGTATTGGAGGAAACAAAACAAAATGTTAAATTGTTAAATATGGATGCAGTTTGGTAGTAAGTATCAAACTATCAATTACTCCTAAATAGAATTTTTGATAGTACTGGCATTTGAAACTATCAAAAACTATCAATGTTTGAAACTTTGAAACTAAACAAAAATAAAGGCATTTTTTCTGCTTATTTTTATAGGGTCGACTGTTATGGTAAACAAAAAAAAAAATCAACATTACAACTGGCTTATATTCACGAAATTGGAAACATACTCGAATTTACTAATAAGGGAAATTGGACGCGTTTACTACACTTGGAAGGAAAAAGAGAATCATCACCATCATTCAACATTGTTAGGAATAAATTACTGTCAAAATTTATATTTTTAGTTTAACATAAAATATTTGTCAAAACTATAAATATGCGGGGTTTGGTGTCAAAATGGGTAATCCGACCCAAACCCACATGGGTTCGTGATTTTAATGGGCGGGTTTGACCTGACCCATTTATTATATAGGTTAAATTTATATTTTCAAATCCAATAACATGAAATCCGTTGACTAAATGAGTTATATGGATACCTACATACAAATTAAATATCATAATAAACTAATTAAAAAAAATAACACCATTTCACATTATTATAAATAAATCCAACAAAAAATTTTAACGTGAAAATAACAAACTAAATTAAAACATCTTCGTATCTTAAAATAAATAAAAACCATAAAGCCGTAAAAACAATAAAATCAATATAACCATAAAACCATAAAACCAAGATTAATTTGAAAAAACACTTGAATCTTCGTTGAGTTCATCTGCATCCTCATTAATACCCATGGGTTATCCAAACCCACAATCCAAAATGCGATCGCTTAAGAGCATATAGATATGCATCTCATAAGAGATATTTGAGGTCGGTATCTTGTAAAAATCTTCTTACGTTCAAAAGAAAAACCATTCGAGAAGAAAAATAATCGGTAAAAAAATTATGGTCCAA